CAGTTTATTAGTTAAAAAAACGAAAAAAACTGATCAATAATTGATAGAAAAGATCAAAATTGTTATTGGGTATTTTACTGTTCTGACTATTCCATTAAAGATAGGTTTTGGCTGGCAAATTCTCAATACTGGTTACTGAATCTTCATAAATAATAGTAAACTAGCGTTGAATTTCAATATTTCTTTTTGAACCAAATACTCCTATACTTATTGTTATTACAAGAAAAAGTCATTTTTTAAAAAATACTTGTTTTAAAAGATTTAAATGTATAACTGACAGATACATTACTCATCGACGTTATAAGTAACTCACAAAAACAGTAAAAATTTTCCTGTTTTTAGTATCTGTTCAACAAACAGTTGAATAAAAAAGCGGCACTATTCGTCATAACAATAAACTGTCGATTACAAACCACACTTTTACACTCCAAGTTAGTCATATTTTTAGTTGATTACCTGTGATACTCCTCACATTTTTTGCCGAAACTATCCGAGTACTTTAGGAGACTTAGGTCGTAAAGGGGTACAATATGCAAGATTGTTTTTGGCAATTTTTTTTTCAGGGTTTTTACCAGTTCAACAATGTCTCTCGTATATACAGAAACTGCTTCTTCTTGTGTTAACTAAATTCAAACATATATAATCTTCTTTTTAACAATGAATTAGTCGTTTTTTCAAGCAAATTTTAGTCAACAATCATCAACGATGCAAAAGTTTTTAATTTTTGAGCACCTGCTAAATTATAAATTACTGTGTTTGCTGTTCAAAAGGCATAGACATTTTTCATCTCTATCAATACTCAATAAGTCATAGAATCGAAAAATTACCCCAGCAGTACAAAAAGCTCTTATGTTATTTGTTCCAATAAAAAGTGTTATAAATTTCCAGTCATTTTTGACATCAATACTCGACATGTTTGTCATTCGGGTTATAAGCTCTATTGCCTGTAATTGAAAGATTCTGAAATATGAAAAACTTGGTTCAAAAACGTTTACAATGAAGTTCTTAACCTGGCCTTGAAGAGTTGAACTTGTACCTCCAGATATTGCTACATTAAGGTGCTCAGAGTTTGACTGGTTATTAAGACTTGCACCTTTCAGGCTTGGATTGAAATACTTAATGAAATCTAAAATTTGACAAGTAAAATCTAATCAAATAAATCATCAACTTCTTCTGTTACAAACTCGAAAATTCTGTTTTTTGGCAAGTTTATGAAATATAATTTTTATAATCTTTATCAGAGATTGCTTGAAATAAAACTTTGAAGCACAAATTTGTTAAATGGGTTAACATTTTTTTGTAAATGAAGTGGATTGAATTTTAATTAGGTAGAATATTAGGCTTTCTGCAATTTCAAAAGAAAAAACATACCTAAAAGTCTTGCGTAAATGTCTACAAATAACTTACTTGAAAGAGTTGCATATTTAAAGATCCCTCTTTCACCTCCGATGGGGAAGCTTAAACCTCTATATTCTTCCATGAGATTAGTTCGAGAACCGCTTTTGTAACCAGCCTGAATCAGTGAAGCAGATAACTCATAGTAAAGAGCATAAAACAGATTTATTTTTTTACCTTTTAGATTTTTCCATTATTTATTATACCGCCTTTTTCACCTTTCAAGGTTTAAGCAGAACCTTTATCACAGAAAAAACAACTACTTTAGTTATATGATTATGTAAATAACTACAAATTTATAGCATTACAAATTGCTCGCAGAGCACCGGTAGAAATTTACGCTTCAGTTAGTTTTTCTACAGTTTTTTTGCTCCTTTTTTTTTCTCGCAAAATTTTTTGGTTGGTCGTTGGAATAAATGATAAGCAAAAATATTCACCGTGTAGGAATCACCAAGTGCAGCTATAACTTTGATATGCTTTGGTGACAGACTGTGTGCTGTCAGAGGAATGTCGTCGACTTCCTTCGGCAGGACACAGTTGAAATTTGAAGCACCAGCAAGTTTGACTGCAAAAATAGTTTTTCCGTTTGTTGTTTCAAAAAGCAGCAGAGAAATCTTCTATCAATACCATTGTTTTTTTTTTTTTTTGCTTTATAAAAGAAAAACAAAGCTTTTGAACAATCCAAGAAGATGTTTTGAATTGGTCGGTGTCTACAACCTCATATCATCTGATCACTGCTTTGGATTAATGGAAAAACTGCAGTCTCTGTAGTATTTCTTTGCTTTTTTCTATTATTTAACTTGCCCAACTTTAAACATAAGCGAAAGCTCATTTCGAAACCTAAACCAAAGCAGTTGGCAAACGCTGAAATGTTTTTGGAAGAAATATTTGTGGAAAGACTTTATCTTAACTTCTTCTGCCCTTTAAAATCAAGGTTTTTGTATTTTTTTGAAGGAAAACTGTAAAATTTGTTTCAAATATTTTTTCTAATAAAT